AAGAGACGGTCAAAGCATAGTTAATTAGACATAGAACTGCTGTTACAAAGCTGGTTACTTTCCTAATTAAATTTTATGGTTTTGCTGAAGAATTAAAACAAGAAAGTTAAACAGAAAACCATGCCCCCAGAGAACTGGATTGAGAAAGCACCAACCAATTAAATTGTTAATTAAGAGCATAACCATGATTTAAATAAAGTTATGATGGAAAGGGAACAGTCTGCAGGTAAGTAAATTAAATTCCCAACACCACATTCTGCCTACATCTCTTTGCAAATTCTTTGTACTCTGAAGTAATAGAAATGGCTTTATGTAGGATCACAAAGTTTCCATTACAGAATTGACACACTCTTGTATAAAGAACAATTAATGACATTTCTGTTTCCAATTTTCTCATCAGAGAGCTGTAGGATAGGAAACTGTCCTATTTGACCGAAAGTTTGCCATTTTTTTCAAACTGAAGCACAATCTCATAAATATTAGTTGGTTTGTCAGGTGTCATTGAATGACATGTCAAAAGTCATAAAATCACATGGGGAAAACTGTCCTTGCTAGGAGGAAGGCTTCATCTCTCTTCCCTTGCTTTGTACATGAAATGTGCTGCTGCTGTCCCAGGTGTCGCCTCCCTCCCTCACACCCCAGTATTGTGCTGTAGTTGACTGCTGTCTTCTCTAATCCTCCTTGGAGCACGCCCAAGTCATACACCGGACCTACAGGAGCTCTAGAACACCTGTGATTACAGGAGTTTATGAAGTCAAACATCCAACTGGACAGTTTAATCAATTGGAAAACTTATGAGGAGAAAATGGATGGTAGAATTCATGCTGTGGAAGATATTTGTTCCCAACTTAATTAGAATCTGGTCGTGTGATTGTAGGATCCCTTAATCATGGCTATGGTAGGCAGAATTCTAGAATGGCCCCCAGGACTCCCGGCCCTGGTGCACACACATCTCTCCTGACACGCTAATCTAGGCACGATTGTAAAAGGATTTTGCAGATGTAATTAGGGTCCCAAATCAGTTAACCTCAAAATAGAGAGATTGCCCAGGTGGGTCTGATCTAGTCAAGTGAGCCCTTTAAAATCGGTCTTTCCTCCAGCTGGTTGCAGAAGAGGCACTCAGACTACTCCTGCTAGCCTGCAAAAACAAACAGCCATGCTGTGAACTGCCCCGTGGCAAGAAATTGTGGGTGGCCTCTAGCTGCTGAGAACTATCTAAAGCCTACTAAAAGGAAAACGGGGGCCTCAGTCCTTCAGCCAAAAGGAAATAAATTTTGCCAACAGTGAGAATCTAAGCACATATAAACCCCAAATGAAACTACAGCCCAACTGACACCTTGATTTCAGCCCAGTGACACCTTGAGCACAGAATCCACACCATGCCCATACTTCTGACCTACAGAAACAACAAAATAATAAAATTGAGCTGCTAACCTTGTGGTAATTTAGCAATAAAAATCTAATACCTTAAATACCCAGTGGCTTGGTATGTTGGCTGAAGATACACAGGAGCATTATGAATGATACTTCATAAAAGGTAAAAGTGAGGAAGAGACCAAGAATTTGGCCTGTCAGTATGTTTTGGGTAGGAAATTACATTTCCACTTTTTTGTTAAAGGCTTTGTAAAGTAATGAAAGAACACTGACTTTTGCTTTCTGTGGCATGATTTTTGAGAGAAAAAGCTGCTTATTATCCAGGCAGATGCCCAAATGCAGTTATGGGTTAAATTTCAGGAATATAATTTTCAAGCATGGCTTGCATTTATCTCCATGTGTATATTGATGAAACAATATAGTATGTTTTAAAAAGAAATACATTAGAAACATTCTTTCAAAAGCAAAAAAAAAAAAAAACCCTCTACCATGTTATGATGATGATGATCTACCCCAGTGATCCTTTATTTAATTTACTCAACTGAGTTGGCATGACCTTGGGCTTATGCTGTAGTATTTTAAGCTGATTGTGTTTCCTTTCTGTTATAAGAATTTCTAAGTTTTGACATTGAAACAATCTGTTTTGAAACTATTTTAAACTTTAAGAGGAATTGCTCCTGCCGGATGTAGTACTGGCCATTCCTAAGAGGACAGCTGAACACTGGGTCTAGCACAGTCTTTTATAGAAAGTAATCTCCACTGGGCTCTTTCATGTACCTGCCATCACCTGTGATTGCCTCCTTTGCATGTCTAGTGGTTGGCAGGCTGTAGGCTGGGATGACAGACAACTGGACCATGTGTCTCTCGTTGTCTAGCTGTCTAGGATAGGCTTATTTACTTGGGAGTTACAGGGTTCTAAGAGTGAGAGAACAAACTTACAAAACTCCTTGAACCTAAGCTTAGAGTGCTCAGTAAATGTCACTTCTGCCACATTATCCTAGCCAAAGAAAGTCACAGCTCAGATTCAAAAAGTGGAAAAACAGATTCTAATGCTTAGAGAATGGTAAGGTATGTACAGGAGAGTCTGTGGTCATTTTTGTAATCCACCACGTCTTCTATTCCCCACCACCCCCACAACACACACACACACATATTCGATTTGCCAGCAAATCCCAGATGGAAGATGACAGCTACCTAACTTCTCCTCTGCAGTCTCAAGGCCACTTCCATAGTTCCGGCCCTGATATCTTTAACCTGAACTGCACCAGCCTCCCCAGTGTCTTTTCTGCAGCCCTCACACGTGGTTCTTATTTGTTCTCCATACTGTGAGAGTGATCTTTCTGAAATGAGAAACTGACCAAGTCACATCTCTACTTAAAACCTTTTAAGTGTTCACCATAGTCAACAGCAGTAATTCCCAACCCAGGATACTCATAGGAAGCTTTTTATAAAAGGCTGACATCTAACCCCACTGCTAGAGATTCTGACTCAGTTGCTCAGGTGAGACTTGGTGGTTAAAACTTCTTTAAGCTCCCTAGGGGATTCTGGATGTAGCCAAGGGAGTAAGCCACTGGCCTAGGGTGTAGACTTCAAACTCTTTGGTGTGACCTGTAGGGCCTGTCAAGATTGCACCTCCCTGCCTAACACTTCTCAGCCTCTGTCACTGTCCTTGGCTTAGTGTCCATCACCCGAACCATACTGAACCAGTTGTAGTTTCTCACCTAAGTGCCTTTGCTCAAGCTGTTCCTCTTGTCTGGAATGCTATTCTCTTCTTTGACCACCTACTGAACAGCACTTATCTTTGAAACTAGGCTAAAACACTGGATTCTGCTTGAGTTATTTGACCCTCACTGAATTCTATAGACTATTATACTCTAACATCAATATCCCTTTGTGCTTTCTGCACCCACCCATCCCCAGGAGGCTTTCTTACAGATCTGAAATGTCATTAATTCTCTGAATTGCATATGGTGGATAGGGAGGCACTGACAGAAGAGAAAGGACTGGTGACTCTTCAGCTGGTACTAAGAGGCTTATGTGCACAGTCAGGCCACTAGCTTCAGGAACACAGCCCAGCAAAGGCTTAAAAGAGACCTTTACTTTTTTTTACCCACCCTTCTGGTTTCTTTTTATTTCCTGTTTTTTTAATAGGTCACCTTTTATATTTATCCTTGTAATTTCACCTGAAAATTACAAATATTGGAGAGAATGATTTGTGCTTTGTTAAATGTGAATCTAACCATTTCCGCTTTTAAAGGACGTTAACATGTGATCAAAGATACAGGGATAGAAGAAGTTCCTTTTTCAAGGGCAAAGATGGCACTTCTTGGTGAGTGAGAGGTTTTCTATCAAGTGTACAGACAATACTTTGGTGCCATTTCTTAGACCCACAGCTCCAAAGATAAAAGTTTAAGTGAAGATTCTTTTAATTAAAGTTTCCTATTTTCAACCATTTCATTTTTCTAGCTGTATAAATGTGCAGAGATTTCCCCTGCCTTGCTTGGTTTTAGAGGTTAATGTTGCTGAGAAGTGTGGAACCTGGACCCCACAACCCTTTTTAGAGAAGTGCACCATTGTCCAGATCACTGGCATTAGGGCACAGCCATAAAAACGAGTATCAATAACCTAAAAGAATTCACTAACACCATTCAAATTTATTTATTAAATATTCAACCATGTGAGGTCTTGTACAGGGCGAATATGGAAAGCAGTTAGCATGGTGCTTAAGACTAAGACCCCTGGAGACATAATGTCACTGGTCAATTGTGTTCTTTGCCTACTTCACATTGGCTGCAAAGAAAGAACATGCAATTGGGAAGTCAACCAGGTTTTTATTCAGTGGCCAAAGAATGGAGAAGGGGAGCTCATGTTCCAAAGGCACCATCTTTCTGGAGGCATGAGAGTTTTAGAGTTGGGTGCAAGCCTGGGGAAGTATGTAGGCATGCACTGGATGGAGTTGCAAACAGGCATGGTACATAAACATGTTTCTACACACATTGCATGTAGACAAAATGGGGGCAATTTTCTCTTAGGGGAAAGTTTTGTAGTATTATAATGATATGTTCGTTAACATATCTTAAAGGTAACTGGAGACTTAAAGGTAGCTGGAGGTCACCTGCTCTGGTCTACACCAGTTTCATGTGGGTCTGAACTTCCTCGGTTATTCAGCAGGGGCTACTTGTGGCATCCAGACCATCTGGTTTCTTTAAACAGCTGTGCCTATAAACAGACTTAAAAAAAACCGTTTTCCCACTGTCAGTAGGGGCCATCCTGGTGACAATAATTCTTGGGTTCATATCCAGACTCTTCCATGTACTGATGACATGGGAGAGTTCCCTGATCCCCCTCGCAGAAGTTGTGACAGGTGTGTCTCACCTGTTCAATCGCCCCACTGCTCAAACCCCATGTGGGATGGGGAGCATGCAGACAGGCAAGTGCAGAGGCTGGGGTGAGTGCTTTGGGCTCTGGCCCGTGGTAATGTCCAGGAGTTACAAAGCTCTTTCAGCTTTGCCATCCGCAGCTCAATGGTCCCTCTGCCTTTTTGCAAGGGCAGAGGGCCAGTGTGACAGCTTTCTGTATCTCGAGCTCTTGCCCAGCATCCCAGAAAAATCCAGTCACACACGGGCTTGAAGGATGAATGCAAGGTTTTATTGAGTGGTGGAGGTGGCTTTCAGTGGGATGGATAGGGAGCGGGACTAGGCCCGACTCCTCTCCAACCACCCCACAGCCGAACTCCTTTTGGAGTTCAGATGTTCCTCTTCTCTCTCTCTCTCTGCCGCATCGTTCTGCCATCTGTCTGCTGGTCTGTTTCTGAAGCCTGCTGTTCAGGGTTTATATGGGTGCAGGATAGGGGGCATTGCAGGCCAAAAGGCAACTTTTTGGGCACAAAAACAGGAATGCCTGATCTCATTTAGGGCCATGGGTGTACAGGCTTGAGGGTGGGGTCTTTGCCTAGGAACTGCTCTCTTCTACCCAGTATTTCCTGGTCTCCTGTCCATATCACTAGTTGTATGAGTGTCAGCAAGTTACCTAATTTCTCGGTGTTTCCATTTCCTGATCTGTAAAGTAGAGAACCACAGAAAGAGTCAATCATTTCCACATTTGTACTAACCTGCAGCTGGCATGTACATATATATCTCTATATACACTGTAGCAATTTGTCCACATATTGTGTCTCCCTTACCAGATTGAGAACTCCCTGAGAGAAGGATGACTTACCATTCTTCTTTGGATAGGACTGTTGTCTGACTCATCTTTGTTTCCCTAGTGCCTGGCAATAATAGGCAGTCAACAAATACTGCCTGAATGAATGAGCATATGTAGTTCATTCATCCATCTATTTGCCTAATAATTATAATACAAACAACACTAACTTGGATTCTCATCAGGAATATGTGCATAATTTTCAACAGATTAAAAAAAGGTAGGTGTAAATAAAAACTATTGTAAAATGATGGAGCAAGCGGGTATCATGAAATAGGCAAGGGTATGAGGTAGGGGAAATTATCCATTTCCTCAATTACTAACGAAGTTTTATGGAGGAAGTGGGATTTCTGTAATAGCTTGATGATAAACTTCTTAGAGAACTATCTTTGAGATCTGCAATCTTCCATTAGAGCCTCACCTAACTTTAAGATTTTTGCCTTTGGGTGTTGACTAACTCAATGAATACAGCAATGCTGATTATCAGAAACATTTGAATTTGACAGTCAGAGCTCAGGTGTTCTGCTTGGAGTCAATTTGTGATTTTGTATCATCAAAAATGTCTGTATCTCTTTAAGCCTCTGGCATACTTGATTAGCAAACCCATTCCTTTCTAATAACCTAAAAACAGCTATTAGGGATGCATATGTGGCAATACTTTGTGCCCTAAAAAAATTCAGAGCAGCTTTTGCATATTCATTAGCCATAACCACAAAGACTTTGCTTGATTAAAGAAGTTTCCTGTTTTCTACCATTTTGTTTTTCGAGTTGTATGAATGTGGAATGATTAAAATTCCCATGGTCCCACAAATACATCTCTCAGATGTTTTGCTGATAATTGGATTTGCTTTGAGGCTATCTGATCATCAGTGTTTCTTCTACTCTTTCACATTCCAGTTACATTTTGAATATGGACCATGATCTGGGTCCATATTCAAATCAGCATCATATTGAGAAAGAAGAAAGGAAAAGGTAAGGAGAGCATGGAGCATAAGGGAAAAGACATTGACCCAGTACAGGGATTGTGATCTTTGAGAAGCTGCATCACAAGGATTGTTTACTCCCTTAGAGGGATGATATTGGGAGCACAGGCAGAAGATGCCTGTGTTTATGGGGCCAGGCTGAGCCTTTTGATAATACAGACACATAGCCTTTTGAGCATATATGGAAGAAGCAACCTTTGGGCTTTCAGACAAGGGGAGAACAGGTGGGAGGATAAACAATGGAATGGCAGGATATACTTTTCTTTCCTCCTTCCCTTCTTCCATATCCCTCTCTGCCCTAAAACTTCAGCCACCATATCCAGAGCCATACTTAGACAGTCCATTCATTTTGTCAATGAATTTGTAATATGCAACCAAGATTAGTCAATGTCCAGTCAGGAGACAGAAACCACACCAATAATTTGAACAGAAAATTTTTAATATAAAGTAATATTAGCTAGTAAATGGCAACTGATTACTAAAAGACATAAGACAGAAAATATAAATGCAGAGAACTACTGCTCTTTGGCATTAGGAAGAGTGTCCAAGGAAGGGAATAAGAACTTGATGGAGCATCTTCCCCTTCATCAGAAGGGTGAGATTCAGGCCTTCTTGGAATCCATGGACCATAAAGTAAGACATTTGCTGTGCTGCCAGCAGGCTAGGGCTGGCCTCTTGCTTTGGTATCAGCAAAACTTGCCAGAGAGTAAGTGTCACTGGGTCTTTCACACAGCACCAGTTGCCATGTCATAGGAAAGAAAAAAAGCATATCAGAACTAGGAAAAGAATTTCCTTCCTTCCCAGTGTCTTGCAAAGTCCTCTCTTGATGAAGCCTAACATTGACCAGCTATCAAAGGAGAAATATTTATGGAGTCTAGCTTGAGTTTCACAAGGCAAGACAAAAAGAGGGTAGATCTGGAATTGAGAGGCAGTCTATTGGTACCTGGAATAACACCTTGCAGGCCCAGAGGTATGGTGATTAACAAGATAAAGTAAGGTTCTGGTCGGGTGATTAACAAAATAAAGTAAGGTTCTCCTTGTCACCCTACCATCTAAAGTGAATATAGAGAAGTGAAAAGGTGAGGCCAGGTGTGTAATCCCTCACACCTATAATCCCAGCACTTTGGGAGGCTGAGGCAGGCAGATCACCTGAGGTCAAGTGTTTGAGACCAGCCTGGCCAACATGGCAAAACCCTGTCTCTACTAAAAATATAAAAAATTAGCCGGGCATGGTGGTGTGTGCCTGTAATCCCAGCTACTAGGGAAGCTGAGGCGGGAGAATCACCTGAACCTGGGAGGCAGAGGTTACAGTGAGCCAACATTGTGCCATCCAGGCAGCAGAGCAAGACTCTATCTCAAAAAAAAAAAAAAAAAGGAGAAGTGAAAAGGCCATGGCCAAGGTAGGTATTAAGGGATAACATAAAATCCTTCTACCTACCAAGAAAAGGTATGTATAATAACAACCTTTATATACTACTGTGTGCTAAGTACTCTGCTAAATGCCAAATATATATTATTTAATGTAATCCTCAGTTCAAAGAGAGATTCGCATCCCAATTTTATAGATGAAAAAAAATTAAACTACTCTGTTTTTCCATTCTGCAGAAGACTTTTCCAATTCGAATTCCTTTCTAACATGACTTAACAAGAAGTTTCACCTGAAATCTTTATCAAGCTAAAAAAACAAATGTTTTTAGTGAGATTATTTGGTGGCCAGCTGAGAGTGAGAAAAGACACTAGAAATGTACATGTGCTGAGGAAGGGAGCCTGGATGGGGAAGCTGGAACTTCGCCATAGCCAAACATGGTTCCTTTCATGAGGTTACCTGAAAATGGCATGGCCCTGGGAAGTCGGCCATCTCTCCTGTCACCTCCAGCAACCTGCTTAGCTTTCTTATTTCTGCCTTGATTAATTATGTGTTTAAGCCAACTAAGCATGTTTCATTTTAGTATATTTAGATAATTGACAGCAAACGTTAAAAAGTCATAGAATAATGTGGATAATTGAGGAGGTGCTGAGAGACTGCAGGGGAAATGGTAACAATGAGTATGGTATTTTTTACTCTCTCTCCTTTTTTTTCTTAAAAAGAGAAAGAGTCTCAGTCTGTCACCCAAGCTGGAGTCTGGAATGCAGTGGTGCGATCATAGTTCATTGCAGCCTCTGACTCCTGGGCTCAAGCGATCCTCCTGAGTAGCTGGAACTATAGGGGCATATCACCATGCCCAGATAAATTTCTAAAAAGTTTTTTGTAGAGTCAGAGTCTTGCCATGTTGCCCAGGTTGGTCTCGAACTTCTGGGCTCAAGCAGTCCTCCTACCTCAGCCTCCTGAAGCACTGGGTTACACGTGTGAGCCACTGTGACTGGCCTAAGTATGGTTTTTGGGTTTTGGGTGGGGGGTTTGTTTTGTTTTTTTGAGACAGAGTCTCACTCTGTCACCCAGGCTGGAGTGCAGTGGTGCAATGTTGGCTCACTGCAACCTCTACCTCCCAGGTTCAAGCGATTCTCCTGTCACAGCCTCCCAAGTAGCTGGGATTATGGGCACACACCACCATGCCCAGCTAAGTTTTGTATTTTTAGTAGAGACAGGGTTTCACCATATTGTCCAGGTTGGTCTCAAACTCCTGACCTCAAGTGATCCACCTGCCTTGGTCTCCCAAAGTTCTGGGATTACAGGCATGAGCCACTGTGCCCAGCCAGTATTTCTATTTTAGCAAATCTAAGACTGACTCTACATATCACAGATCTAATTGTTTATCATAAGTATTTGAAAATACTGGGGAGAACAATTGATAGATTATAAATAAAACACAACATTGTTTCTGGAATAGTAAAATCTCTCAGGGTTACCTAATTTCTTTCAGGAACATAAGAGCCCTTATGAATCAGGAGACCACTTGGACAAGGTTGGTCAAGGAAAATGATGTATATTCAATGTTGACTTTCACAGGACTTGGGATATTGCTTAGCATAATTTATTATTTAATAACTTGTAAAAATAAGGTCTATATCACACAACCATAAGTGAATTCAGTTTCAGGTCAGGAATATAAGAAACAGCCATTAAAGTTAATTCTCCTACCAGTAATATTTAGCCTCTTTTTCATCATCAAATCCTTGAATAATGTTCTCTACAGGAGGTCCATGAAATGGGAAGGTGGCGTCAATGAATATTAAGTGAGCAGTTATTTGAAGGTGTTGTAATCAGGATTCCAGGTAACGTTAATAAAACAGTAGAAGGTTCAGAAACACAGAAATTAAGGTTATCTCAAGGACAGATACAAAGTGATGCTTGCAGACATTTAGACTACAAGCCGCACAGAAGGGAAGAATCAAAGGACACGGTGCAATGCGAGTCTAGAGTAAACAGATACCATAGAGTGAGACATGTACAAGCTGGCATACTCATTGGGATGGGAGGACTCTGGGCTTTCAGGGCTTCCCGAAATGGTCTTTGTATGGCAGACTATTAGTAACTCAACAAAATTCTGTCTTCTCTTTCACATGGGTGCTGTATTTCACAACCTTCCCTACAGTTAGTTAAGTGGGGCCATACAACTGATCATGACCAATGGAACTGAGATGGCACAATTCCCTTGGCCGCTTCATGGGACCCCTCACAAAGGGGATGGCTCATTTACTCAGCAACCATGCGCTCAAACCCCTTACAGGAAGCAGAGCATGCAGGTGAGCTGGGGTGAGTGCTGTTGGGCTCCAGCCCCATGGCAGTGTCTAGGGGTGTTACAGTGCTCCTTTAGCTTTGCCATCCATGGACAGCTAAGTGTTAACCAGCTCAGTGGAGAGTCAGGGTGACAGCTTTTTACACCCTGCCCTCTTGGTACCTGGGTCCTTGTCCAGCATCCAGGAAGAATCAGGTCACACAGACTTGAAACATGGTGAATGCAGGAATTGAATTGAGTGATGGAGGTGGCTGTCAGCAAGGTGGACAGGGAGCTGGAAAGGGGATGGAGTGGGAAGATGATCTTCCCCTGGAGTTTGACCTTCCTGTGGCCAATCTCCCCTATGACCATTCCCCAGCCAAACTCCTCTCAATGTTCAGATGTTCCTCTTCTTTTCTTCTCTGCCATGTCATTCTGCTGTTCTTCTGCTCATGGAGTCTGGGGTTTGGGTTTTATATGGACACAGGATAGGGGGGCATGGTGGGCCAAAAAGCAACATTTTGGCATGAAAACCGCAATGCCTGTTCTCATTTAGGGCTGTGGGTCCAGGCTTGAGGGTAGAGCCCTTGCCAGGGACGCTACTCTCCTGCCTCCTGTCTGTATCAGAATGTACACAAAAGTGATGTGGGCTTTTTCTCAGCAGAAACTTTAAAGAATGAAAGTTCTTCCTCCACTCCTTCCTTCCTCTTCTGCAGCCTGGATAACAATAAAAACAGGACCCAAGAGGATGAAAGAGCCAGACATGGAAAATTTCTGGATCCTCAAATCACTCCATAGAGGAAAGCTGCCCACTCACAAGAAATAACCACCTTTGTCTGTTATGTGACCAAGAAATAAACGTCTCTTATATTTGAGACATTATATTGTTTTTGAGCATCACCACAACTAGAAGAGAAAATGGTACATTGAAGTAGAGTGCTATCTTAACAGAAACGAAAATGGTGTATAGCCTGAGCTTAGCAATTGGGCAGTAGACAAAGGAACACAGATGCCACAATGTGGAAAGAAAGATTACCAGTGTAACGTAGTGACGAAACATTTGATAAAGGTATCAGTTGAACTTGGAAGATAAGGCAAGTGTCTGTTGACGCTACAGCTCTAAGGAAAGTAGTAGGAAATACCTGGGATGTTAGTATATCTTGGTCCTTCTCACTCGTAGAAAGGTATTACAAGACATAGCTGAATTCAGGAAGAAATAGACAGGTTTACAAGCAGAAATAAAAAGGAATCTGGGGTCTGAAAGGACAGGAAAATCAGGCTGATTCTAGATCCTAAACACACACAAAAAAAGACTAAAGATGGTTTCAAGCAAAGAAGATCCACTAAGATTTCTCAGGTTTGCAAAGTAGCTTAGATTAGGGAGTTACTTTTCTACCTTTCCACCCCAGCCTACTCTTTCAGATGTCCTCAAAGTAGCTTCCATTAAGTTGAAGAGAGGGGGAAAGCCATGGGGGCCAGGAAGCAAAATAATAATAATAATAATAATACAGATTTGAGAATTACATCTAGGAAAGAACTTAAAGTGTGGTTACTTAATGAAACTTCCTAGGAGAAAATAAACCAGAAGCACATATAGTTTCTGAGACGTGGCCCACAATATCACAGACCTGACCAAAATATAAAATAAAATAAAATTTTGCAAGATAAAGCATTATACAACTATCAGGACCTCAAACCTGAACAAACCAGAAGTTGACTGTGAAAGCTGCTTGCCTCCAAGGAGTGCATACTCACCTATATCCACTTCAGATGTGGCCAGGAAGAATAATGAGCAAAGGAGAACCTCCTAGAGAAAACCAGAGAACAGGACAGTTAGTTCCAGAGATACCAGAGAGCAGATGCTGGGTCCAACTAAGAACCTTTCTCCACTGCCAAATCAGGGAGTCTTTGCCATGCCCACGGAGACAGGTGTCATCATGACCTGAGTCTGTGATCACACACCTCTGCGTTCCTCCTGTTCTGAAAGGGAGATGTTATTGTGGATATCCTGTCTCTGCCGAGCACCATAAATGGTAGAAGGGAGGGTGCAGGGGGCAGGTAATCTGCTTGTTAGTTTGTTTGTCTTAGAGCGTAAAGAGCCATACCTGGACTTATTGGAGAAAACTGCTTCTGAAGAGCCTTTGGGTGGTCCCCTCAAGCAGATATATAGTGAGTAAAAGAGCACAGTGACTAGTCATCAAAAATCGAATTCTTCTGGGCCCATATCCCATAGGCTTTTTACAAGTAGGAGTGATGCTGTGTATAAGAGACAGCCAGTGGAGAGGAAGCAGAAGTGATGAGTGCCCCCTATAGTCCAAGGCTTTGTAACCCTCCTTCCTATCCACTGGCTGTGCATGACTATGACAAAGCCTTAGGGTATAGTGGATCTGTAAACTGAACAAGGCCTAGTCTTCAAATCACCACATGGTGCAAAATCATCCACCAGCAAGGAATATTGACCTCAGAAATGAGGGAAAACTATTTAGTTTGAGCTGATATACATTCTGGTCTATCTGTTGCCATAGCTGGTGTTACTTTAATAGAACCAGTATCTCTAAAACTGACCCTTTTTGTGGGACTTCTAGCCATAAACCTTGTAGATCCACTGACTATCACAGATCAGTAGGTCCCCACATCCATGGGTTCCATATTCACATATTCAAACAACCATGCATGGAAAACAGGCAAAAAAAAAAAAAAAAAAAAAAAAAAAAAAAAAAAAAAAAAAAAACCAATACCATAATACAAAAATACAAATTTTTAAAATATAACAGCTATATAGCATTTACATTGTATTAGGCATTATAAGGAATCTAGAGATGTTTTAAGGTATACAGGAGAATGTGTGTAGGTTGTATGCAAATACTAGTCCATTTTATATCAGGAACTTGAGCATCTGCAAATTTTGGTATCCATGCGGATCCTGGAACCAATCCCCCTTCCATACCAAGGGATGACTGTAGTTTATATTTTAAAAAAGCTAACGCAGACTGAGAACTTAACAAGCATACTCATTCCACAAACAGATCTAAATGGAATACTCTATGTTGGGCATTGGATGAATCACACATGGCATTGTGAGGACACGGCCATGAGTAGAAACTGGAACTTCAGACAAGGAGCTTAGAGAGGTTTATGAGGTCATCCGGAGCAAAAAAGAGAGAGCAAAAAAACGCACCTGGGTGTGGTGGCTCACGGCTGTAATCCCAACACTTTTGGAGGCCAAGGAGGGTGGATCACCTGAGGTCAGGAGTTCGAGAGCAGCCCAGCCAACATGGTGAAACCCCCTCTCTACTAAAAATACAAAAAAATTAGGCGTAGTGGCAGGTGCCTATAATCCCAAGCTATCTGGGAGGCTGAGGCAGGAGAATCGCTTGAACCCAGGAGGTAGAGGTTGCAGTGAGCCGAGACCGCACCATTGCACTCCAGTCTGGGCAAAAAGAGTGAAACTCAATCTAAAAATAAATAAATAAATAAAAAGTAAAAATAAAAAAACGCAAAGTTGATAGAACCTCTCTACAGATTTTTCTCTAATCTCCAAATATGTCCTATGTTTCCCAGTGTCTGAGCCTTGTATGTACATATGTAGAAACAAATTCCACAAATGTTTATTAAGGGACTCTGTGCCTGTTCTAGATGCTGAGGGATACAGCAGGAAACACAGCGAACAATCCCTATCCTTAAGAAACTTCATATTGTAATGGAGGGAGATTAACAAAAAATAAGTAAAAAATATAGTATATCAGTTGGTCATAGTTGTAGAGAAAAGTAAAGCAGGGGAAAAGGTGAGGGAGCTAGAATGTGATTTTAAATGGAATGAATAGTCAGGGAAGACAACATTGACAAGGTGGCATTTGAGCAAAGCTCTGAAGGAGGCGAGGGTGAGCTGTTATTGCCACATCTTTGGGAATAACCACCCCTTCCTTCTTTACCAGGCAGAAGGGCCAGTCTCAGACACTAGCTCATCAGAAAGCTTTTGCTAACTGCTACAACCAGATGTGTTCCTTCTATTTTTTCGAGTCCTTGAAGATCTTTGTTATTCTCTCACACGATCTGTTCTCAGATTCTGGTTGCCTTACTGAAACACGTGTTCTCATTCACTCCAGTGTTTTGAGGAACAACAAACCAATTTGATTAGGATAACCCAAGGTTAATAAGTTGTAGCTCTATTTACCTTAACCCCACACAACCTCCATCACCAGCTGACATATTTTGAAATTGACAATTGACATTTTCTCAACATCGTTTCACCCTTTCCAATCAAATTACTGTTCACACACCCTTTCCACATACAAATTCTGCCTTTCATGCCTAATATACGAAGGAAACTTTTTTTAAAAAGATGTAAGCTTTTTAATCAGAAGGACAAAAAATGTTAATAACACCATATGAAAGAGACTGGAGGCAAAAGCAGAGCAAAACCAAACTATTGCAGAACTGCAGTTTCAGTTTGATCTGAGGTTAGCAAAGAGAAGTTTTAGAAATAACCTAGCACTGAGTGTTTCAGTGTTTTGGCTACTCTCAAAAGGAAGGTAGAAGGGAAAAATCTAATTTGTCTGGGTACTTTTTTCAGACTATCTTACCAAATATGTACTACCACAACCCCAGGTGATCATAAAGGAATACTTAGTAAATACTGATTATAGATCTGAGGGTTTCCAATACTGTTCAAAGAATCCACAGTTATCTATCTTAAACTTTTTTCAACAAAAATCTATGGACATGCTTTAGGGACTATGAGTTTCACTTAGTAGCCATTTTAAACGTATAGATCCTTTCTTCCATTTAATAACATTCTTCATTCCACTTAGAAAATCATCATTCTGAAAGAAGTATAATAAAGTACAGATCTCTTTAAAGAATAAATGTGTTTGTAATTTAATGAGAAGTTAAATACATTGCTAAATGTTTCACTCAAAGAGTTTTGTAAAAAAAGAAAAAAAAATGTTAAAATTGAAAGAGTTTGTGACAAATGCTGTATCCATCTCCACTTGGGAGGTAAAGAGTACATGTATGTTACTGAAAGCTGAAAGTAACCTCCTGTACTTAATTTGGAAACATTTCAAGAATATAATTCTTGTGCCATATAGAAGCATTATTCATAAAAACAAAATGACCCTTGGAACCAAAAGCATTTTCTTAAAGTAATAGGTCAGATTGAACCTCAAAAATAGGAACTTATTTCTTTTCAGTATGGTCACACAAAAATCATTTTTGTCATGCTTAGCTTCTTGCTTATAACGGGACCATTGGCTTTTGGGCTCTTTTTTTTTTCTTTTCTTTTCTTTTTTCCTTTTTAAGGAAGATAGAGAAAGCACAGAATTATAAAACTCTACTTATGTAACACTTTTCTATTAAGGGGTTCCAAATTATTTATAAAATGTTAGCTCATTTAATTCTCACAGCTCCCAAGCAGGTTCAGAAATGACATGTGGTATTTATGATGGGCTTTGTCTCAGTTTCTTCTGGGGAACATGAGTCACTTCTACTCTTGCAGCGGAAATGAAGCTATAATTTCCTGACATCCGGTCGAGGCGCTAACCTGACCTCATTCCAACTCTCCAAGTTCAGCAGTTGTGTTCCAATTTTGGTTTTATTTATATTTCTCTAAGATCTGGCAGTGAACTGTCATAAATCATGCCTTCATGCAGGACTTGATGAGATGAGGGACAGGAAGGAAGCCTTTTAGTAGATATCAGCTTTTGTTTCTGTTTTAAGGGAAGTAAACATTTAGGGTACTTCACTCTTAGCACATCAGTTACTCCTCCAATGAGTAACTCCTTTGTGTTCTGACATAGGTAGGATTCAAATGGACTTACAAAAAGTTGGGCATATTTATTTTTGAATAGGTAACAATGTATTGATGTTCAGAATTCAAGATGTTCAAAGGATATACAATTTTTAAAACCCCCTCCTATTCGTCTTCTCCAGTCACCCAATTCCTTTTGTAGAGGCAAGCAGTGTCACTAGCTTCTTACAGAGGTATGCTATACAAATCCAAGAAAATAACAGATAGACACAAATATGTATCTCTGCATAAATATGTAGGTATATACATAATACATTAATATGTTATTATACTTATATATCCCTATGTATTAGTGTATATCTTTAGATATATTTCTCTTCTCCTTTTTTCCATAAATTATGACAAACTATACACACAGTTTTACTACTTGCTTTCTTCACTTAACATGTCTATGATAATCCATAACAGAATCTAAAAAGCTTCTTCCTTTTTACAACTGCATGTTCTTCTGTTGCCATAGATATACCAGATTTCCTTAACCAGTCTTCTACTGGTATTAGATTTCAAATCTTACGCTGTTATAAACATTGTTGCAAGGAAGAACCTGATAGAAAGTTGTTTCACATATGTACAAATAGAATAAGTTCTCAGAAATAGAATTTTTTGGCCAAAGAGGATATGTACTTTCTTTTATAGATATGTTTCAAATTGCCCTCCATAGAGGTTTTGTCAGTTCACACTCCCACCAGAAATGTATGAAAATTCCTATTTCGCTACTCCCTTGCCAACATATGGTACAATCGAGCTATTTAACTCAGAGACAAAATATACTGAATAATGAGTTTTCCAGTTCTTGAAAAGGATATGTGAGATATCAAATGATTTATATTTTCACACATCCACACATTTAAAATAATTTGTACATTATCTTCAAAAACCCTATCATTTTTAGAATATTACTAACCTTAATTTAAAAGTGCTTAAAAGTATGGATCATTTCCCGTTAGCGATGACCATTGCTTTGCCAAAACGATTCTGTGTGGCACATTTCTAAACCTCAGCCAGCTGATAGGTGGTTTTAATAAATACTTGATACTGAATGTTTCCAGTGCTGTCAAAGAACCTGAACAATACTGGAGCTTCTTAGACTAAGATTTGGTGACTATCAAGAAAGTTTGAAAATAATTATTTTCTATGCTGTTTTTTTAAAGTATGTATCTATAGCAGGGTTAAGCATTTCAAAAGGATGTGTGGGTTGATGTTTGTGATATTACGGGTTGAGCCAGAGAGTTCTGCCAAGTGAGAAAGTAGCGTTTATGAGATGTTTAAATGTATGTTGCATGTGCCAGCACAGCTATTCTACTACACATTATTTATGTAGCATTTATAAAGGCGTAATCAAGACATCTGATATTACAAATGAGGATTTGTACTCAACTGTAAATTATGTCACAGATGTCTTGTAATAGTTCTTTCCATTTTCAGCAACTACAGGAAATGCTCAAGATTTTATTATATACATACATGTACACGTATGCCCAGAGCTTTGCTGCTCTCCATAAAGAGTAGTGTTTTCACAAAGTTCTGAAGTATTAGACCTTATTCAGTTATATAAAATATTTGATTAATATTGCTAACCTTAGCTTCTGCATTTATGAAAAAGTATCCATCACCTTCTCTTGTGAACCTTTGTTCTTACAAAATGAGGTTCATTGAGAAAACATTTTTTGTTACGTTCAACTGGAACGATTAAAAACGTATCTAAATTGGTATCAGTAGACATTCATGTGGTATAAACACTGCCTCTCACTTGTACCCTTTTAACGCAAGACACCATTTGATACTATTTGACTTGGCTACTAAGAGAAAATGGTTCTTTTTAAAAAAATTTTTTTTTCTTTTGTTTT